TCACGACGTTATATGAATGTGTACGTTTGTTTGTTAAGCACAAAGCTACACGATGGGCTATCTGTGCTCTACCCACCACGGGTATCAAACATGCCCTCAGACATACCACTGTGCCACTGGGGGGCGAATGTGTACGTAGCCTATGAACATAAAATTTATTTTTGAAGAAAATGAGAACATGACAATAGTTGCTGTACATAAAATTGAGCTTAAGTGAAGCCTTTTAAATAGTAGCATTCAATAACAAATTGACTTTGTATATTTGATATATCGTAAAAAAAGATCATTTTTAGTGGTGGTATATGTTTTACTACTGAATGGTGAAAAATTGCTATCTTATCTGATCGGTACGTTTTATTCTTTACTGTAAACTTCTTATGGAAATTTTATTCTTCGATAAAATATCAAATGATTCACATGGTTATTAAAAACATATTTAACCGTCTTGGTTACCAGGATGTAAATATATGTACACTTTGTTATGCAATATATATACTTAATATATATTAAAATAACTACAATAAATGCTATTATAGCATAGTAATAACAGTAAGTATTATGCTAATGCAGTTATTAACATTAGCATTAATATAATATTAATAAATTCAGAAATTTTGGGTATGTAGAAAATTCATGTTTTGTAATAATAAAACACAGAATCTATGTCAAAAGTATACATTACATTTATAAATATGTAATAATGTTAAAATTCTGGTTCGACTCCCCGCTGTTAACAGCCCATTATAGAAATTTGTACTAATAAAACGACAACAATAACAAGTATAATTTATCCAAATAAGTGTAAATTACAGTAATTTAAACGCTACAATTAAATACTATTCTCTTGTCCATGCACTTGTTGTTTAATACCTATAACGTGGATAATGTCTCATATTTGTTTATGTTCAAAAATAGCAAAATTGAAGCTATTGTTAATCGAAGGGTATGCCGTTAACAGAGTGCAGACAGACCGTTGCAGAGATTGGTACTAAGAAAACGAGAAAAATAACAAGTGTAATTTATCAAAATATTGTTGTTCATATCTCTGTTATAATAAATTAATTACTAATTTAATTCACTTGTTAATATCAAAATAATCTGTGGTATCAAAAAAAATGTCTAAGTAGCTTTGACATTACTTATTATGTATTAGTAACATTGCTTTCACAATGAATCTGTCATTTTTACTTTACTTTATTTAAAAAGAATGTTACTCTGTATTAATGAAACCTTGAAGAATGTTTCTACATTTTTAAACCATTATTCAGACTTTTTCAAACAAACAATTTGAGCACTTTTGTCTGTCCATATATTAACAATGGATAAGTTCGTAAAACAACAAGAACAGATATTCAGATAGACACCTAGTTACATCGATATAGATAATAGCAAAATAGAGAGTAAGATAGCTAGACTGATAATAATGTGGAAAAAATCAGAAGTATGCTTTCAGTTTAGATGAGAATTCCTATATAACAAAGTTTTGCTATGTCTGGAACTGTATGAGCATCAATCATATTAAGCGAAAAGAAACGTATATATATATACCAATACACACAGTACATCATACAAATGAACCATGGTGAATTACTGGATATTTACGAATGTGTTTAATGAAAGTTTTCGGTCTCACGTGTAGTCTATAAAGCAGGCAGTATTTCTTTAATAACCTTCATTTTTTAATGAATTGAGAATGTTCACTTTCTTAGTTTCAGATTTCTTCAATACAAACAAGCAGGTTTTTCGTCAGATCATGTTTTATTGTAATGCTTCATAGAATATATAGATATAGTGCAATTGGTAGAAGAACAAATGTTTACATACCTACAGATGTCTAGCTAAACACTGAAAATTCAACGCAGATGACACGGCAAAATTTCATCGTATCACCTAGATATTAGTATCTATTGGCATTTTACCTGGATATTATAAGTTGTTTTTTTTTAGTAACTTAAACAATAATAATATAATATGTATGGACATATTACTAAATATAAATCTTGTTTGTTCTAAGACTTGTTCTTACTAATGTGTATTCACCAACTATCAATTGCTCTATTTAATAACTTCCGTTGAATCTAGATGACGTATCAAGTCAAATATTTTGTCTATGAAATTATTACGCTTCTGTGAATTGTTATATTTTTTATTTGGGTTTATAAACCCAATGTAGTTATCCAGTATAAAGTTCTTAAACTGCACAGTATTGCAGTTCTCATTAAATAATGTTATTCCCAAGGTATGGGATAACTTCTCAAAACTTGGATAAATGATAATGAAGAATAAACTGACACGTCTAAACTTCTGTGCCTAATTCCATTGTAACTCGGTCTTTACTGCCTGACGAAGGACGTCTGCTCGAAACGACGCAGAAAATAAACTAGTAAATGTTTTCATTTAGAAGTGTTAATTTATTATTTTTTATCTTTTATCAAGGTTTCTATTCTCACGTCTTGCGGATTCAAGAAATAACTTCTCAAAAGCCCATTCCTTATTAATTTCTTTAGATAAGCAGTAATATACATAAAACATGCATGTACGTTTACTTAGTAAGTTCTTATATAAGTATATATATTTCGCATTTGTAATGGTTGTCAAAAATCCGTTGCTTTTTCTAACCGAATCAAATATTTGTATAGGTATGTCTTAAATTAACTACTTAAATTCTGGAAAGTCGCTGCTAGGTGTGAAATAAAAATATTAATATAATTACCTTTCAGAAGACTGAAGAACAACAGTGATATTAAAACTCCTGAAATTCTGCACACCATCTTCATCTTGGTTTTTAATCACCTTCTTGACAACGAATTTACAATAAAAAATTCCAGATTGTTTTTTCTGTTTAATAAAAGGTTAACCAGTTTCACTCTTCGTCCTCACCTGTATACTTCATCAACATTCTAGGCAGATATTCTAGAAGTTACGGGTGTGTTTGATAGTAATGTATCTCTATAAAATGGAAGACATCTTATTTTCTATTTTACTTCTCTCATTAAAGCATACGTAGTATTACTAACATATTAAAAATGTTTTCATTTGGTTGAATCTTTTTTCCACCATAACTCTGTGTCACTCTCAGTTTTCTTCCCATCTCACTAAGAAACACATTGTTTGCAGATGAAACTTTATGGACTAACTATTCTGTGTTGAAGCTTCTGTCTTTTACCCACCGATGATGATCGGCGCCGAGTCTGCACAGTGCGAGACCCATCTCCAATTGAAAGCTGCGATGTATCAGGCGCATGCGCATAGTTTCAACCTATCCTGATCTAAAGGAACTGAAACGTTCGTTGCAGAAAAATAGCATAGTATCTTAATTAACAAAAGCAGGTAAATAACGCTAAAAGGACGCTACGAGATAGATTTATAAAATCTTTAACGAGCTTATAGGATCAATAAATATTTTTTTACCTTATTTTGAGTATTTAAGTACAAACCATATTTCATTTTAGTCATAATTTATGTGATATTTACGTAAGGTGAGTTTATACCAAATTATATTTTGTTTCGAATTTGTTATGCTAAACAGCATAAAAAGTTTCATGATACAAACTTCAAGAAAAACGAAATATACTTATATACAAGAAAATGGAAAACTAATAAATCAAAGAATACTGGGGGACTGAACAAAACACATTCACGATAATTAAACTGAAACTCAAGAAAACAGAAACACAGTTTTCAATTCATCAAGCTCGAGAGAGATGCAGCTACCACGTCTCACGCGTGTGCCGTCAACGCTTAATGTGAAAACATCAACTGATAATAACTATCAGTACAATGTTTTGCTACTTAGTTGCACATCTAAAATCAATTTCACAGTTTTAATGAGAAAACTAAGTATAGATAGCAGAGAAAACTTCTTGTAGATAATGCATGTATACTAATTTCATTAAACTACTCGCGTCTCCAGAAAATAATTTCATAATTTGTTATTTTTTTTCGATTTTGATGTAAAATAGAGAAAATAAATCAGTAATATTAATTTTTTCTACTAGTTAAATTTCACATCTTATGCATAGCTGCGAAACTAAGGAACGTAGAGTTTTAAGCATACCCTGAATATGTATGTACGTTTTACTTAACCTCGGTTATATTTATAATAATTCCTTAGTTGATTTTAATATTACTTTTGTAAATTCTTTGTTTCTTGATAATTAACAAATCTTTTTTCGTGTGTGATGTTCACTGTTAATGCCCTTTTATAGAACTAAACAGCTGAGAAACGTGTGACCTAGGTAAGTAGCGAATAATTTGTATAATATCTGTTATTTTAACATATCAGATATACTTTTGTAAATTATACAAAAATTTTGGATATTCTTACTTAATATTATATATGAATCAAAAATTTATAGTAAAATGCATAATATGTTAAACCCAATGTCTTATCTAAAAATATCACTTTCGTCTCTTCTATGGATTACTATACAAATTATATTTTTTGCTAAATGTTTTTTTTATTTGGGGTTGCAAAAAACAGTCATAAATACAAACTATTTAATTAGTTAAACTGTTGTGTCATTTTAATAAGTTAAGTGTTGTATTTCGGTCACACAAAAAATTGAAAGGAAACGAAAAAATGACATGATACTGGAGACATCGATTATTTGCTACAAAAAATATTTTTCATGGAACTTGATAATGAAAGCATTAAGTAACACATTCTCTGTAGTAGTAATAATAATAGAGCTTCAATAAGTGAAGAAACTGTATCGCATTGTTAATAAAAATTACTTTGTTTAAATAGTTACATAATTACGCTTCGATGAAAGCAATGAAAAGTGGCTAACAAACATAATTCTGAATCTAAGACCATTTTTGAATTTCAAAGTACAAATATAATATTAACTTTATTGGTTTAATCGAAATGATTTGATGTCTCACTCGCAAATACTTCACATTTTAAATCCAAATTTCAACGATACAGCTAGATACTATTCGCTTTCACTTATGTAATTCTGAAAATAGACATATGGAAAATTATTCAATCTTTACTACAGAACGTATATATATATCAATGTGATGTGTTTTGTATATTTACAAAGGTAATATAAACGCCATACACATTAATTGAACGTATGAAAGAATTGGGAATACTACTGTATAGAATTCAAAGAATAATGTGCTGTCAAAATCTTATAAGTGAGTTAGAGGTCTATGTACAGTTTCAGAGATACTTCCTTACTTATTGCTTTCCCCAAGTTATCGCTTTCCATTAGTATATGATTCTTAAGCTTCCGGATAACTTAACAAACCTTATCTTTCGTTATATAACAACATTTTAGGTAATATATATATATATATATTATTTGAACTGTAAATTATGCGAATAGTTAATAGACATACATGTGCTTTGTTGTCAGCATCATCTAGTAGCGAATTAATTATGTTTAATGACGATGTTATAGCAAACGCCTATTCTGCTTTTATGTAAAATAATATAAAATAGTTATAATCAATCAACAGACTTGCACTTACTAAATAATGAAGCATCTGCTGGTGGTAATAGAAGTAACTTTGTTTTAGTATATTGTCTTCGTGTGTTATGAACGTACCAATTCATACCTTTAGTGTTTCGATGTATAAGTCAATATTTATAAACTACACGGTTCTAACGTCTTTGATTCTAAATTAATCATATTTCATGAAATATATCGCACACTGCTTGTTATCAATAGATATAAAAATATCGAAAGTTGTAGGAAAAAATGGAAATGACAAAGTTTAGTTCTCTATGAATTTTCTGTTTCTTAAGCAGCTGTTCAAATAGGTTTTTATTAAGGAACTTAATATTTCCTATGTTATATTTTACATCATGTGTCTGAAAGAATTGCTTCAGGCTTATGTTCTGGATATCCTAAGACAGTAATTTAAATTGCATACGCTTTATAACCGGCTAATTAAACATAACTTCAAAACATATTCGATAATTAATTAGTATGTGGCCATGTTAATTTTCTTATTTATTAATATATTACTTAGATACACCGGTGAGATTTTAAAGAATCTGTGATCCTCAGATTATTATATTTAACTTATTCGAAAATTAATTGAAGAAGAATCTTATATAACTTATTTTGTGAATTTCTTGTTAGTAATGACCTGGGCTTTTCAGCAATTTTAGGCATATTTCTAGTAAGCTTTCAAATTATTATCTGAAAACTAAAAAAAAAAAGGATGTAGTTATGGCTAACTTAAACTAACCATGTTTCTCCCACGAGTTAGCGCGTCGTCTACTCGTTTTATAACCTTATGAACCAGCAAATGTTTAATGATTCTAGCGTTTAAGAATTTCCTTCTGCTTCTAAGACCATAGCTATGAGATAACGAAATATCAGATACATTTCTCTTACAGTTAATCATGTCAAGAAATATTGTTAAGGCTGTGAAACATTCATGAACAAGTCGACAAACACATAGTAATTTTAGAATGTATAGTTTTGCCTATTCGTGCTCTTTTAAAAAATGGCTAATAATTACTATTTTATATTTTGCTGTCACCCGCGTAAGTAAAACTTAAATAATTTTAATGAATCAATCGAAAGTCACAGGAATATTATTACCTTAAAGTTAAGGGCCCTTACTAGCTAATTATAACTTCGGAAACAGTTATTTTCCAACTGCATATGATTTATGTATTTGATGAATTTGTAATTTTCTCAACACCTAATATGTAGTAGCTTGATAATTCATTCAATATATAGCTTTGTCTTCGTTTAGCAAATAAACATTTTAACACATTTGAATGATTTAATAATTTTATAAGTGACACTTGTTTATAAAAACATAAAAGTATTGATAAGAAATATTTGCAGGCACTTTATCCTAAACTGATCCAAATCTAATAATTCACTGAACCCCCTTTCGCCTATATGTATAAAAACTTGGACTCGGCGAGCCACAGGTGCCGTTAGATGGTGGAAAATGTTCAGAACAATTGATGTATATTCCTCGAGAAATATGGACTGCATCCTATTCACAGATGTCAGCAGAGGATTACAAATGGTGAAAGTGGTATTCAACTTCAGCTGAAAACTGCTCAATCTGATCACTAATTGTATTTATCAAGGAAGATGACAAAAAATACTGTCTTTCTATTTGACTATTTTCAAACGTTATGGGTACAGTAGATTATTGCCTTAACATCTGAGAAAAGTTCCTGTCCATCAGCATAGTATTTCAGGTTGTATCGATGGATATATAGAATACAATTATAAAGAAGTTATAATATCATTGCATACGTCATTGGTCAGGCCACATTTGGAGTACTGCGTTTTGAGTTCAGTCTCAGATTCTTTAACTTAGAAAGAAGATTGAATTACTGGAAAAGATTCAGATGAGAGCTTCTACGATGATATCTGGGATGGATGGAAAGGTTGTCGTACGAATTAGAGGTGATCTGATTGAGATGTATAAGATTGTTAATGGAATTGATCGTGTTCATGCGTCATCTTTTTTCGTACTTAATGGTAATAATGGTAAGACTAGAAAACACAAATACAAATTTTGGCAGGGTAGGAACCATCTTTAGCTAAGACAATTTTATCATTCTAATAAGTTTGTTGGCCTTTAGAATGGGTTGCCTTCAGTTAATTTTATGGTGTTTAAGGGAAGACTTGATAAATATTTGAATAATAAGAGCTGTTTTTGATAGTTTTTTTTTAAATTTTAGACTAGTATAGGGGATGGGACAGCCCAGATGGACCAATAAGTCTTTTATTTGTATTTAAATTATATATTAGAATGAAATAATCAAGATCAAATATTACACCATTAGTACTGAAACTAATAAAATACAACATCAAATTATATCACACATTTCCAGTCTTTTGTTCTCCAAAGTTTGCACTCTTAGCACATCTAAAGCCGTGTTTTTCTACTTGCATCTCATAGAAGCGGTTTTTAGCCGTTATTGGCTTCCATTATTTTATGTGCTTTAATTTCTTCCACATGTTATGAATGGAGTTAATTAAACTTTGCCTAATGTTAAACGTATTGATCAATTGGTCAGTATGATGTCTGTTGCACTTTACAAGCCTATCCAAATGTATTTTTCGTTAGTCAGTCACCATCGGTTAATGGCCATATTTGTTTCTAGTTGCGGATATATTCTTGTTCGATTGCCACTCTTGATAATCATTTTTGACAGATGTATTTGAGCAACG